CCATGCACCTCCAGCACCACACTCACTGCAGACAGTTTTCAGAAAGAAACATTGTTCCCCTCCACAAACACCGACCCCATCCCCCCCTTCCCGAACAACAGAGCTTAGCACCCTGGCCTCTGGCCACCCCATTGTGGGTGCGATTGCTGTAGTGAGGCTGCGGGTGGAGGATGCCCTCGGGGTGCGGGCAGCCACTGCTCTGCCAGCATGGGTGGCTCCCCCTCCTGCAGTCAGTGAGCTGGGCAACCAGTGCTGGCCTCACTGCAGGCAGCTTCTGCTTTGAGGCCACATGGAGCTGGGGTGAGTGGCAGGACAGGGCCCAGATGGGGAGGCTGGCTGGCAGGCGATCCAGAGCAGCTGCCAGGGCAGTGGGACCTGACCATTGGAGACACCACTGCACCTCAGCCCAAGCACCCAGAACTCCTATGGGAGCCTATGGCCCTGGGGCTAGCATGCCAGTGGCCTCCTGCTAGTGGTGCTGACCGGGAACAAATTTGCTCCTGGTTGCTGTCCATGTGTGTGCTCAGTTAATATGCTACCTGCAATTGCAAATTAACTGCAGAGGTAGCAAATTAACTGTGGAGCAGATTAATTGAATGTGCAGTAAGTGTCTGCACTTGCAGATGGTGATGCTTTACTGCACTATTAGTCTACCGTGCAGAAATGTATCTCATGTAGATGTGCCCTGTAGGTATTTAATACGCAGTGGAAAGACAAGGACTTAGCTCAGCCCAGAAACCCTTCCTCCAGCTGACAAGCATAGTTTTAGCAGGCCCCTTACCTTGTGCTCCTGGACATGGATTTTATTTTCTCAATGTGGGTGTGCTCTAGGAAAGAAAATGGCTGTCCTCTGAAATCACCACCAGGGTGATACTAATTCACCATTTACCAATCCAGAAACAAAACTTGTTGTTAGTATTTATATAAACCCTGTATGCCATCTTACCTTACTTACTCTGTGTTACTTGTGCACTGTACAAATGACAGGGAGGCTAATAAACTCATTTTTTCTAGTTCCATTCTGAAAGAAAAAGATGACTTAGTCAAAATTGTTTGAGTGTTGCCTCTGCCTACTTCTGCTTAAGGGATTGGTGCCTCCTGGGGGTTGACATTTATAATCTTCTTGAAAGTAGGATCCATTGGGCCTGTTTATCAGTCTTCTTTCTCGCATGTTTTTGAGTGTGTAAGACAAGAGTGGAGGAAAACTCTAGAGAAGCTAAATGGTTATATATGTCCATTACATGTGGCTTGCAATACACCTGAGTGTATTGCCTCAAAGAAATCTAATTTCATTTAGTGTTAACAACAAGGCAGAGCAATTAGCTCAAGCAACCCTTCTCATAACATGGAACAACTTCTGTAGACTAGGTTACTGCACTGTGAATGAGGACTGTTGCTTTGAGCTTGTGAGGCTGGGAACTGAAATGACAACCCAGGGTAGATTTGCACCTTATAAACTAACTAAATCCAAGATGTATAAACTTTCATAAACAGCAGCTGATTTCATCAGGTACTTATCCAGTACCTCGGCAATCCAGCAGTGAGGATGAGAGGATTCGGGCTCAGGTGGGTACTCTTACTGCCAGCTGAAGGCGAGAATCCCCAGGTAGAATTTCTTCTCTGGCCTTTTAAAATAAGAAAACTAGTATGAACTCACTGTCTGATTAACGAAAACAAAAATACTCCTTTTTAAACTCTGGGAGGCTGCCACTGGATGGAGGTAGGAGGGGGCAGATCTGCCCTAACACAGCTGCTTTCCAGTAGTTTCTGCAGCTGAACACTGGGAAGTGTTTGTTCTTCAAATGAGAAGAAACCAGAAATTGCTTGCAGAAGAACAAGTGAAGTTTATGCGGAAGGTAAGTGGTATATAGGCCTCTTGTCAGTCTCATATATATACTGTATAGGAGTTTCTTCAGAAAAGTAAAAGTAACTAAATACTCATCTTCTCTTCAGTCACAAAATATGCTGCTTCATTCAAGTCAGATTTTCATAGGGAAGCTTTTTGGGCGATGTGTGTATGGAGAAATACGTGAGGACAAGTCCCTGCTCTGTCTGCTACAAAACATACTTGTTCATCACAGCTCACTACAAATGAGGCAGAGCAGGAGAGCCTTGAACTTCAGTCCCTCTCATCTCAGGCCAGTGCACTAAGAGTATGGCCATCCATTACTGAAGAATAAAGGGAGGGGCAGCTATTTTCAATGTGTCAGTAAACTCCATATAGTTGGTGATAATCCCGTGGCAGCAACAATAGTGGGGTTTCAGCCTCATGGCTGACTTGGGTCTTAGGTCAAACCTATGATACATTAACTCTAGTTATGGAAATCAGGAATCACCGGTGTGTGCACATTCATCAGTTAGGAGGAGAGACTTATTAGAGGTTCTAATCCAATAAGGACTTTGGAGTCTGTTCACATTGATATTCGTGTACTTACTTCAGGTGCATATGGCCACATACTAGATATTTTTAAAACTGTAATTGGCAAATGAAATTAACCCCAAAGGGAAATGTTAGACAAATTGGAATATTATCAGCCAAACTGAAATATAAAAATACAGTGGAAACGCATTCATTTCACACAATACAGCTAAGCTAATATAGTTGTTACAGCTCTTGGGGGACTGAGAAAAAAGATCAAAAGGTGAAGATGTGCACAATATGCTTTTGGGGTTGTTTTGTTGGAAACAAGCCTTTTTGTTACAGAATTGTTCATGTCAGATAAGAAAGTTAAGCACTACTCCATCTGAACTTCTCTTTTCTTAACTCAAAGATCAAACCTTTCTGGATTGGAAGATTTAATTTAGCCTAATTTTGGTCTGCAAAACTACCAGCAGGCTAGTTAAACTGGGGTTGTGGCTAGAACAGGGGCATGGTCTGCCACAAAATTTGGGGCCCTCAAATCCCAGTGGACATGGCCCCCAGAAGTGGGAGGGAGACCGAGGGCTATGCCACCCCATGTCCCAGGCCAAATCTGCTGCCACTGCAGCCAGCTCCACTGCAGCCACATTGTCCCACAGTCCAGATCTGGCACAGGTCACAGGGTGAGTTTGGCACCCCTGGTTTATCCTACCTGAAAGAGAAGGTCTAGCTCCTATGTTCAGATCCAGATCACAAGTTTCTTGAAGTTCAGGACTGTTCAGCCTAGGATGTAATTAGGATAAATTTCTGTGCATATTGCAATAAGATAGCAGGAATGGTTTTTCATCCCTTAGCACAAGAAGACAAGTTTAATTGGAACCAGATCCTGTGACTTAGTAAGCACCCTGCACCAAACAGCTGAACAGCAGTTGCTACAAGTAAGTAATCTCATTGAATGCATCTACATGTGCACTTAACCATGAATAAACTAATTTGCTGTGGTGTAGAACATCACAGTCTATACATGCAGTGCTATTAGACAGCAGCAAACTAATTTGCATCACTGTGAGAGAGTACTGTCAGAGACAGTATTATCTTATGGCAGAGAAAATAACTGCACCTGAGTGCACATGGACCCAGGCAGCAAGGGGCCAGACTCCGGCCTGCTGCTTAGCCCACAGCTGTACTGTTTGGGCACACTCATGCCCAGCCAACCCCTCCACTGCCTGCTGCTGTGACAGAGCCCAGGCCTGAACTCTACCCCCCACAGCCTGCTGCTAGCCTGGGGCTGCTGCATCCTGGCTGAAACTGCTGCAATCCTGGGAAAACATGTGAATGCTGTGCCTGGCAACAATTATCATGCTGCACTAATTGAATGAGTAGATTCACCCACTGAGTACAAAAGATCTCAATCTGTGATTTCCACTGAAGTTCTTTCAGCTAAGCATCTGTCAGTGGAGCCTTTAATCTAACCATTAATAATTATATTATTGATGATTAGATCATCAGTTTTCTGGAGGAAGTGCCTTAGATAACAGAGTACCAGCTGACTCAGTACCTTGGCACAGTCAAAGCAGCCATTTGTAGATGTGCTCACCATTTTCTAAACCGTGTTAACTGATTTGCATCACACAGTTTGAATCAAATTTCAGTTCAATTTGAGGGTTAATAGATGATCATTGACCATCAGGGAAGTTTTTGTGCATTTCTGCTCTTCTGCAGTAAAGATGGCTGGGGGCACTGGACACCATAAGCAAAAACACCACTCAGGATCAGGGCCACAAACTGTTCACGTGCTACATCTGGTGACGGGCACAAGCAACACCAAGCCCTAGATCAGGATAGGCAACTTTTTTTGGCTGGAATTCCAAAAAAACCACAATGTCTACTTTGG